ACAGGTTTATCTCAAATCGTAATGTATACAGTATATTTCTAAACTATTGTATTTAATAATCATTTATATACTGCGAGTGAAAGTGAATACAACTTTGAAAGGAAGTTCACACTAATTATTATCCAGTCATTTGAAAACAAGTGGACAATAGTAGTCTGGTGTTTGTGTATGTCCTTCAAAACAGTGTCTAATGTTTGAACATGCATATACAATTTTAATAAAATCAGTACCTCCCAGAAAATAGCATATTATAAGCCATATAATGATAATCTTAAAAGTAGTCATTAACTCAAAAAAGTCATTACACATGGAATTAATTTTGGGGCCTATTATTGAGTTCAAGTTTTTTTTTTATAGTTTTTGATATCGTTACTACTGTATTGTCAAAGTAATTGTTTTTTATGCGAGAATGTGTATGAAAATAAATGTAAATAATTTGATGTGAAGTTTTATGGGATATCATTAGATTTATTAATGATAAAAAAATACTACTCAGTATATAAACCTTTTTGTGTTTCTCAATCTGAAAGTCATAAACAATTTAAATGGAAAGACATTCAAATTAGAGCTCCCTTATAGTGGCAAACATTTTTACAATAACACAATACTTATATAAAATTTCATAATAATTACTACAGTATTAGCATTAAACTGAATAAATTGTCAAATATTTCTCAAAGTTTATATTTAAAGTAATAAAAAACAAAATCTCATTAAAATAATGTCAAAAACACTGTATCTAAAAATGCAATATTTACTATACATATCAAATAAAACCTTTAAAGTCTGTTAAGAGACTTATATTTGTATACTGTTTGAATGAATCAAATACATAAAATGTTATACATAAAATAAAACATAAAATACCTTGTTGCGATCGGGTCTTATAATGGTTAGCCTGTCTGGACCTGGCCTCGCATTCCGAGTACCAGTTCATGGCTTTGTTCGCGTCTTTCAGTGCATCCAAATTCTTGGGTTTTTTAAATCCATTGCCCATAATGTAGACGTAAGCGGAAAACGGCTCAAAGTTTGCCGTATATTCAGTATTCCTGAGGATCTTCTCGTGAATCTTAGGCGTCGAGTCGACGGCATCCACTTTCGTGGCCACAATCGGTCGCTCGATATTCATGTATTCAACTTCATTGCCCTTTTTTGGCCAATCAAATGAGGAACCGTACCTCGCGTTACCCAACTGTCCATTCGTTTGAAAGATATTTATGAAAAAGTGTTTAATCATTTGTTTTCCAATCAATTATACAAAAGTTTTTGCTTACTTTTGGTGGTGCGTGAGAGTGATTGCGATTACCATGCGGAACATTGCCCCAGGTATAATTCTGTCGATATTCAGTGTTCGGGCAAACT